GCTTGCAAGGCTTTTGCCTGCTAACGCCTATCCCCAGCACTGTCCTGCCTGGGACTTCCCTCTGAGCCTCTTTCTGCCCCATAGCCCTGTGCCCTGCCTCTCCCAGCAAACCCAGCTGCTCCAGACCATGCCTGAGTCTACCACCATGTCTCCTGCCTTTGCCCAAACTGCTCCTGCCCCTCCCTCCCCACTTAGCTCCTGGTGTGAGTTTTTATAGAATTGCTTTTGCTAGGCTGTACTTTGACACGCTGCTATTATAAGAAGCAGACACTTGAAATCCATTTATTATAAGGATCTAGTGTTATTGATTAGGCCACATTGTCACTTTTAATGAAGACCCCTGGGGAAATTCTCTTCTCATCTTAAGTGCCCCAAATAGCTATCCTTTGAAACTGGTCCTTTCAAGTTTATACATCTATTGAGGGTGCTACCAACTGACCAGCTTCCCCTCTACACACGGACTCTCAGAAAGCCTAGCGCCCATGCCTGCCTGGAGCTGGCTGGTGCGTGGGCACCTGGTGCTGCATTCCTGGCATCTGCCATTGATTTTCCTTCTTCTCTTTGTCCCACTTTTCACTCCTGCTCTCTTGCTGTTTTATAAATCCCTATAAGCCACCTCCGAGCCTTTCTGGAACACGGTTGGCCTAAATCAATAAACTAATCGATACAAATAGAAAACCTTCCTCGCAGGGTTGTGGTGAGGATTAAATGGAATAATGGATGTGAGTGCAGCCCAGAGTTCCCTCCCAGGCTTGGTCGAAGGGCTAGCTGCCAGCTGGGGCCAAGGCGAGGGTCCCGCTGGAGGTTTCCACCCCAGTGCAGCCTCCATCTTCATTGGTCTGTAGACGTCTCTTGGCCACTGCCCTTCCTGCCTTTGTCTTGCCCTCACCGCATGTGCTCTGTTCCCTGTGGGGAGGAGCAGGAGGGTAGCTGTGTCTGTTCTCTCTCATCCCACTCCTCTCAGAAGTCATACAGTCAGCAGCGGGCCCCCTTCCCTCACCCTCGCCCTGGGATCTCAGATGCCCTACGGGCCTCAGTTGCCATGTCTTGGAGTAGTTGGCGTGTGGTGGTCATACACCGGTGAGGAGACTAAGAGATGATCTGGTCCAGTCTATGCATTTGATAAATGAGGAAACTGAGGCCCAAAGAGGGAAGTGATGGAGCCACGTCCCTCACATGTTTCAGCTCCTTCTTGCCAAGTCTAAGCATTGTCCTGCTCTCCTCGAGAGCTCGCAGGGGATCCTCATGCCTCAGGTCAGGACCGCGCTCGCCAGCACAGCTTCTAAGCCCCTCTCCCGAGTCATTTCCACAAAGCACCCCTGTTTTGGTCGTTGGCTGTTGTGCAGCCGAGTACCTCATAATAGAGTGGCCCAAAAGAACGATAAACATCGATTGTCTCACAGTTCCTATAGGTGGCTGGGTGGTTCTGGCTTGGGGTCTCTCATGAGATTGCAGTAATGATGTGGGTTGGGGCTGTGTCTTAGTCTGTTTGGGCTGCTGTAACAAGAGTTCCATAAATTGGGCAGCTTATCACAGTCCTGGAAGACGGGAAGTCCAGGATCCAGGTGCCAACAGATACAGTGTTTGGTGAGGGCTCGCTTCCTGGCTGGGTCCTCACGGGGCGGGAGGGGCAGAGGAGCTCTCTCAGAACACTTTTATGAGAACACTAACCCCATTCACAGAGGGCTCGACCTTCATGACCTGAGCACCTCCTAAAGCCCCCACTTCCTAAGACCATCACATTGGGCATTAGGATTTCAACACCTGAATTTGGGGGCGGGCACACAAGCATCCAGTCCGCAGCAGGCAGCATCATCTGCAAGCTTGCTGAGGCTGGAGAATCTACTCCCATGAGGACTCACCCACATTGTTGGCAAGCGGGTGCTGGCTGTTGGCTGCGGGCCTCAGTGCCTCTCCACGTGGGCCTCTCCAGAAAGCTGCTTGAGTCCTGATGACATTGTGGCTGGCATCTCACAGAGAGAGTGATCTGAGAGAGAGTAAAGAAGGAGCTACATAAAAGGATCCTTTATGATCTAGTCTCAGAAATTGTCCATCACTTCTGTCATATTCTACTCTTTAGGAGTGAGGTCCTAAATCCCACCCACAATTAAGAGGAGAATTAAGCTCCATCTTTTGAAGGGTGGCATGTCAAAGAACTTGTGGACGTATTTAAAACCACCACAAAGCTCCCATAGACACATACCAGCCATGTCAAACTGTGTGCTACAGCCACAGCCCTCCTGCCTTGCTCCTTCCTGCCTCTGGGCTTTTGCACATGCTGTTCCCACTGTGTAGAATGTGCTTCCCTCGATTCCCTTTCCTGCCTGGCAAATTCTGACTTACTTTTCAGGACCTGCTTCAGAGTTCCTCTCCTCTCCCGCAGGTAGAGCTGGTCACTTGCTCCCATGAGCTCGCTCATCTCTTTGGAAATACTGCCCTTCCCATGATTAGTGTAAGCAGGAGTGTAAGTCTTTGTAGCATCCCCAGCAGGTAGTCGGCTCTCAGCACACACTCGCTGAATGGAGGAGTGGAGATTTCATTCTCTGCTTCTCTGTGAGTCCTCCAAGGACTGTTAGTGTTTCGGGGTACTCTGTGCATTGTGTGACCTCTGCTTGCGTGAGCCCAGCTGTCGCGGAGCATGTGGGTGCTCCATCAAGGCCGGTTTAGTTCCATGGGGGGCTCCCACGTCTGCCTTGGCTCCTGGTTACTGTGACGGTGAGCCCCTGAGTGAGGGCCATTTTCCTCTGTGTCTTGCTCCCAGCGAAGTAATTTACCTGTTAGATTACTCTGCCCAGCATCCCGCTGAAGGAGAGGGAGAGAACAAGCCCACAGACCAAGGGAACAATAGAGCCAGTACGGGCTGTACGCCATGGTGGCAATTACTTGCATAACACGAGGAAACTGTGCTGGCCTATAGACCAGTGGTTCTCAACCTTCCTAATGCCGCGACCCTTCAATACAGTTCCTCATGTTGTGGTGAACCCCAACCATAAAATTATTTTCGTTGCTACTTCATAACTGTAATGTTGCTACTGTTATGAATCGTAATGTAAATATCTGATATGCAGGTTGTATTTTCATTGTTACAAATTGAACATAATTAAAGCATAGTGATTAATCAAAAAAACAATATGTAATTATATATGTTTTTTTCCGTGGTTCTCAACCTTCCTCATGCCGCGACCCTTTCATACAGTTCCTCAAGTTGTGGTGACCCCCAACCATAAAATTATTTTCGTTACTACTTCATAACTGTAATTTTGTTACTGTTATGAATCATAATGTAAATATCTGATAGGCAGGGTATTAAAGCCTTGATTAATCACAAAAACAATATGTAATTATAGATGTGTTTTCCGATGGTCTTAGGCGACCCCTGTGAAAGGGTCGTTCGACCCCCAAAGGGGTCGCGACCCACAGGTTGAGAACCGCTGCTATGGACGCACAGCCAGGAGCTGGGGAGCCAAGGACTCGAGCCGACCTTCCTGGGCTCAGGGCCGTGTGCACTTTGCCGTGGAGTTTCTGTTTTGTTGTCTCAGCAGAAAAACCCAGACAGAAGGATGGAAGCCCCAATAGCTCAGGGGACAGTGGCAGGGGGTGGGGGTGCAGGGGGGCCGTGTTCCCAGGCCTCACAGTGGAGCCTGAGGCTCATGTGGTGAATGGTGATGGGCAGGAGATGGTCGAGGCCTGAGGACCTGGCCCAGGAGAAGGGTCAGGGGGCCTGCGGGCTGCCTGACATTGAGTCCCACGTCAGGACAGCCAGCCCCAGCTGCGGTGTCTGATGCAGGGCTCTCTGCAAACTGCCTGGGCCCCCGTCCTGGTCAACCTTGGGTAAAATGTTTAGGTTCCCTCCTCTGCAAAGTGGGAGATGCTTCCCACTCCATCTCCAGGCCTGTGTGCAAGGGGAGCTGGGGACCTGACTTCCGGGTTCACCTTCTGAAGCCACCACCTGCCAGCTGTGTGTCCTTAACGAAGCTGCTTAACCTCTCTGAGCCTCCCTTTGCTCTTTCTTTGTGGAAGGGGGATGGGGCTAGCCTTCTCCCACGGTCAGTGTGAGGGTCAGGTGCACTCACACATGTGAAGTGCTGGGCAGGACGGCTCGGGGGGACATGCTCAGAACACGATGGCAGTTCGTTCCTCTGCTGTGGGAAGGGAAGGGGCATTTGTAAAGGCCTGCAGTGAAGAGGTCGAGAGAGGGATGGAGAAACAGGAGGACGGCTCCAGCGGCTCAGTCTGGCCAGAGGAGCTGGAGGAAGGGTCCAGAGCTGGCCCAGGCTCGCACAGGCCGGAGATTTGCAGTGCCTCCTCCCTCACATCAGGATTTTAAAGGGGAGGTGATGAAATTCTCAGTGACCCTGCCCTCCGAGCACAGGGCAGGGATGAGGCACTGCAGCCCCGAGGCCAGCGTGCTCCAGTCCCCCTGTGGGCCCAGGTCTGTGTGGTGGCTCTGCTGCCTGCAGTCCTGAGAGTGAGGGATCTGGCGTCAGACACAGCCTGGAGTTCAAGACCTGGGGGCCACCTACTGGTGGGTTCCCTGGGAGCCACAGGTGCTTTCTTACAGAAAGTGAGCCTTTGGTGCACTCTCCACAGATCCCGGGGTGGCTGTGGGCCCCCCGAGAAGCCCATCTCTCCTTTGCCATCGCCTTTGCATCCCTGGAGGATGCCCCAGGGGCTGAGCTGACCTCTGTGAGTGGAGCGGGGGAGGCAGGTTGGGGTTTGGCAGAGCTGGTCACCCATGCCCCAAGCTTCTCCCTCCAGTTGCAACCCCTCTGTCCAGAGAATAGGAGATGGCTGGGCACCGAGCTCCAGCTCATTCATTCATTCATTCATTCATTCAAATGCTTCCCAGGGAGGAGCTTTTGTGTGTCAGGCGCTGTCCCAGGCTGGGATGCCGCTGTGACAGTCCCACTGTCTGGCGCCCTCCCCTCCCTGACGCAGCAGGGCCCTCTGGAGAGGCCTCTCTGACCAGTGTGTTTCTTCGTCTGGCTCGACCCTCACAGGGACCTGAGTGAGAACGCCATCCAGGCTATCCCCAGGAAGGCTTTCCGTGGAGCCACAGACCTCAAAAACTTGTGAGTACAGGCCTGGGGTGGAGAGGTCCTGGGGCCACAGGGCCTCCCCTGGCAGTATTCTCATGGATCTCCCCGAGCCCTGGAGTTCAGGCAGCCATGGAGCTGGTCTCTGGTCTGAGGTGGCAGTGCCCGCATGGTTTTCTGGAACCATCTGGAGTGGAAGGAAACGGGCCGCCTTGGAGGGCTGGGGGCTGCCAGGGTGATGTTCTGGGTCCATTTGAGCAGACAGTCTCCGTGCCCTTGCCCTTCGGGAGATTGGGAGAGCTGGGCTTCAATCTCCTCTTTCAGGCACTTATTGCATAAACTGCTGCAAGTCAGTTAGCTCACTGAGCCTCAACATATTGTTTTGTGAAATGAGGATATCACACTTACTTCACGGGCTTGTTCTGAGGTTTGCACAAGACGTGGCAAATGCCTGGCATGCTTGTCACTTCCGACACCCCCTTGCCCCGACCCGTGCCTGTAGCAGACATTGGTAATCGATCACCGCGTTCTTTCCCAAGGAGCCCGGTCCGGGTGTCAGTGTATTCTGAGAGCAGCGCTCCAGGTAGCCACAGCTCGTCAGCTGCCCTGGGCACTGGGGCTGGGATCTGCCCCGGGCTCTGGCTGCCATGGCTGCTGGACAGACTCATTCCTCAGCTGCCAGCACCTTCTAGGTGGTCTCCACAATGGGGTGGGTGCCTGCTCCCCAGGAGAGAGGCAAGGTTACAAAGAGGCATCGAATAAAACTTTTATTTACATGTATTGTTTTAACTAAAAAACAAGGAATAATTTAAGTTCTTACTATTTACTATTTGGATGGACACATTTGTTCTGAACAAGGGATGGGGTCAGGTCTTTTTAAAAGAAAATGGAATGGAGCGCTGGGTCAGGATGTGTGGACGCTGCTCTCAGCGACGTGCCGTCCTCTGCACTCCCTCCCTTTGCTTCACAGACAGCTGGACAAGAACCAGATCAGCTGCATCGAGGAAGGCGCCTTCCGGGCTCTTCGGGGGCTGGAGGTGCTGTAAGTAACACACGGGAGGCAGGCTGGCACAGGTGCCAGGGGGGCGGGGTGGGGGTGGGGCCCAGGCAGTGGGCGTGTGGGCCTCGGAGAGCACAGGAGGCAGAGACTTGGGAGGCGTGGCAGGCCCTCCAGGACGCATGCCCGCGAAGTCATCGTGCCTGCAGGAGCATGGCCGAGGCTTATCCTGCTTATGATGACGCCGGGGCCGTGGCTGTGTCTCCCAGGAGTTTCTGACACGTGGCTGTCTAGACCCCACGCCTGCGCCTGTCCCTCTCCCGGCTCCTCCCGTCCCACCAGCCAGGAGGCACAGCTGCCTCCTGATCAGGCAGCTCAGGGCTTTCCCTGGCGGTGGCTCTGTGTCTCATGCTCTTTGGCATAGGCCCCCTGCCCTCTCCCTCTCCCCGCCCTAGGTCCAGCCCAGAGCTGGCCCAGCTTGCGGGTGGACCGGGGAACAGTGTGAGGGGCTGCCTGTTTGTCAGAGAGAAGCCCTGCTCTCCCTCCCACGTGAGCTCCTGCTGGACAGACGCTAACAGACTCTGGCTTCCCCACCAGGACCCTGAACAACAACAACATCACCACCATCCCCGTGTCCAGCTTCAACCACATGCCCAAGCTGCGGACCTTGTGAGTCAGCCGGGTGGCCGGGAGGACAGCCCCGAGCTGGCGGAGCCTGGGCAGTGGGGAGCCGGGCGCAGGCTTCCACAGGCAGGGGAGCGGGCTCCTTCTTGCCCCCCCAGTGCCCAGCCAGGGTGGGGTCAGGAGAGGTCATCTGACATGAAAGGAGGTTGAGTGTCATTTATATTTGATTTTTCCTTGGAAAACCAATGATTTCTTTTTGTGCTTGAAAATGAGCTATGTGACTTGGGTCAGTGGGTCTGTATGAGTTCAGGCCCCCGAGCATGCTGGGAGGGAAGGGGCAGCGGCTGGGAGTTTCCTGCTGCTGCCGACAGTCCCCAGGTTGGAGCTATGGGCTGACTGCGCATGGACTGTGCTTGGTCAAGTGCAGTATGGCGCTTGGCCCCTCCTGGGTAGAGGGGTTCCCACTCGTTGGCCGGGGTCTGGGTGCCCCAGGTGGGTTGTGAGCGTCCCTGTCTCCCTGCAGCCGCCTGCACTCCAACCACCTGTTCTGCGACTGCCACCTGGCCTGGCTCTCGCAATGGCTGAGGCAGCGGCCAACCATCGGGCTCTTCACCCAGTGCTCAGGCCCCGCCAGCCTGCGTGGCCTCAACGTAGCCGAGGTCCAGAAGAGCGAGTTCAGCTGCTCAGGTGGGTGCAGGCCCGCTGGGGCTCTCGACTGTCCATCTCGACTGCCCATCACCTGCCTCCTGCAGCCTCTCCCTAGTTCCCCCCATTCCTTCCTGTCTCCACCACACTTGACATCTGGCACATTCATCACCTCCTGTCCTCCTCCATCGCCTTCTAGACCACCCACCATCTCCTGTCTCCACCCGTTTTCTGTTCCCATCCACCACCTGTCTCTAGGCATCACCTCCTTTGTTTACCATCACATTCTGTCTTTATCTGTCACCTCCTGTGTCCACCCATCTCCCCTCCTGTCCATCCATTATCTCCTGTTCTCACCCAAAGCCTTTGTCTCCACATATCACCTCTTGCCTTCTCTCCTTTGTCCCTCCTGCCACAGCCATCTTCTCTTCCTGTCCGCCCATCGCCACCTCCCACATTGTCCCTCTCTGTCCAACCTCCTGTCCCTCACCCCCTCCCCTCCCCTCCCACGCCTTGCCTCCTCCTATTGCCACCCTTCCCTCCTGTGACGGCCTTGTCTGAAAAGTCATTGAATTGGCCCATCTCGCCTCGGCTGTGAGAGCCTCCTGCCTGCCCACCCCACTTCCTTTCTAGCCCCTTCCGTCTCCATATGCAGCCAGAGGACCTGAAAGGACCCACAGGTCTGGGCAGGTCACTGCTGCCTGGTACTCACCAGCCCCAAACTGTCCCCAAGCTCTGTGAGGCCGGGGCAGGGTCATCTCAGCCTCCCCCGGCTGCCCTTTGGCCTTGTCACTCAGTGTGTCCCAGCGGGGTCCGCCTGGGCCCTTCCTGGAGCAGGTGCCTCCCACCTCAGCCTTCTCGCAGGCTGGACCTGTTGGCACCCCCTCCCGCCTTGTTCCCTGGCCCCAGGCACATGGACGATGCGGTCATGGTTTCTGACCGTATCCCCAGCACTTGGTCTATGCTTGGCACAGAGAGATGCTCAAGAAAGGTTTGCTGAGTGAATGAACGGTTCAGATTCACAACAGAGGATGAGGGGCTGCCCGTTCTCCCAAACCAGTGAGTGAGCCTGCCAGCGGCTGAGAGCGCTGAGGGAGGAGTGTCTTCAGGGCCCGGCAGCCTCTCCTCCGGGAGAGGCTCCCCTCCCCCACAGCACTGGCAGCACCGAGGCTGCTCCGGAGCACTGCTGAGCTGAGGGCTGCTGAGTGTGTGTGTGAGTGTGTGAGTGTGTGTGAGAGAGAGTGTGTGTGTTTGTGTGAGTGTGTGTACAAGAGTATGAGTGTGGCTCAGTCGTTGAGTGTCAACCTATGAACCAGGAGGTCATGGTTAGATTCCCAGTCAGGACACATGCCCAGGTTCTGAACTTGATTCCCAGTAGGGAGCATGCAGGAGGCAGCTGATCAATGATTCTTTCTCACCATTGATGTTTCTATCTCTCTCCCTCTCCCTACCTCTCTGAAATCAATATATATATATACACACATGTACATATGTGTGTGTGTGACTGTGTGAATGTGAGGGTGCATGTGGAGAGAGTGTATGACTGTATGTGTGAGTGTGTATATGTGTGAGCATGTGAGTGTGTGACTATGACTGTGATTGTGAGTGTGCGTACAGGAGTATGAGTGTGTGAGCGTGTGTACGTGTGTGCACACGTGGGTGTGCACTCATGTGTGAGGAGCGTCAGGCTGATGCACCCCTCTGAGTAATTGCAGCTGCCCCAGGTTTTAGGAAGAGAAGTGAGACCTTTTTCTTTGCATTTGAATACCTTGGTTTCTATATTCAGGCACACCCCCCGCCCCCGTCTGTTCCCCCTGGGGACCCCTCTCCTGAGAAGGCGTTGCCACAATTTGCCAGAGGGCCTAGGACTTTGTCTTTTCTGATCTTGGCGCCCACTCTTCAGGGGAGCCAAGCAAAGGTTAGAGGTTAAAACGCTGGTGGGCGTGTAAATCGGCTCAGCCTCTCCGCACAACCGTTCAGCAGAATCTACGAAAGCCCAGCATATGTCCACCCGTGACCCTGCAGCTCCCGCTAGGTGTGTGCATATGCTCTGCCAACACGCGTGTCCAAGAATATCCAAGGCAGCTTTCTTCACAGCAGCTCAGAGTTGGAGGCAGCGCACATGTCCACCAACAAGAGTGGATTAACTATTTATAACTCATCTGTGCAATAGAATTCTAGTCATAGTTAAAAAAACACCTACTGATACAGACACAGTGCCAAAGATTTTATACTGAGCCAAAGAAGCCAGACACGAGAACCTGCTGTCTGATTTCAGTACGTGAAGTCCACAAACGCAGAAGAAATCTTTAGTGCTGGGTCTCAGAACAATGGTTGCCTTGGGGAAAGGGTAGACGAGCCTTTGTGGGTGATAGAAATGTTACATGTTTGGGGGGGGTATATTCATAAGTAGAAATCAGCCAGCTATACACTTAAGATAGTACCCTGTATATAACTTGTACTTCAATTACAGTAATTTATGACACTCGGCTTCATTCTAGTTTCAGCATCAACTGTGTGAGTTTCCACAAATTAATGAATATCGAGGACTCTGTCTTCTCGCCTGTAAAACGGGCACAATAATATCATGCTTCTCCAAGGTTGAGCAGTAAGATTAGAGGAGATACCACATGTACAACACTTACCACAGCAAGTGACACAGAGTAAGTGCTAGGCAGGTGGAGTCCTTGTCATCCCTCGATGATGGACAAGGAGACCTAGGCTCAAAAGCGCTGAGTGACTTGGACGAGAACCTGTGGCTTCAGAATTCAAGCTAGGGTTTCCTGGCATCTGAATCCCACTTCCGCGCAGCACAGTCAGGTCGAGATTCAAGTTCAGCAAACATCTAACAAGGTCCTCTGTGTGCCAGGTGCCCGCAGGGTTACACGGGAGTTCTTGGTGATCTGGGGTTCATCCTCATCCAGAGAAACACCATGTGCCCCGTCCCTACTCATCAGTCTGTATCTCAGGAGGGAGGTGCTGACACGGGACACCCCGAGGTCACAGCCCACTGTTTCCGCAGGCCAGGGGGAGGCAGGGCACGTGCCCTCTTGCACCCTCTCCTCCGGCTCCTGCCCGGCCATGTGCTCCTGCAGCAACGGCATTGTGGACTGCCGTGGCAAAGGCCTCACCGCCATCCCTGCCAACCTGCCCGAGACCATGACGGAGATGTGAGTACCGGGCAGGACAGGCACGGGCACAGGCTCTGGGGCTGGGCCAGGCTCTGGTGGTCCAGGGAAGAGCTGGAGTAAATGCCACCCAAGGACTTGCTTCAAGGTCCTTCCGTGCAAATGGAGAAGTCAGTGCTTTGGCGGGCCGAGCTCTCTGCCCAGGCTGGGCAACGCTGGCAGGCTGGGAGTGGGTGTTCCTCCGTGGTCGATCTGTCCAACCCAGCTGGGTGTCCGCTAGGACTGGGTTCTTAGAATTAGCATCATCTGTGGGCCTTGCAGCCATGGCAGCCTGGGATAACGGAGCTCACATCTGCCTGTGCCAGCCCGCCGACTCCAGACAGTGGTTGGGAGCAGGACAGGGGGGCAGAGGGCATGGTTGGGCGGGTGAGCCCAGCAGGCAGCAGCCCAGACTGGGGCGACCTGACCGGGGGCCCCCCTCTGTGTTCTCTACCCGCAGCCGCCTGGAGCTCAACGGAATCAAGTCCATTCCCCCGGGAGCCTTCTCTCCCTACAGAAAGCTGCGGAGGATGTGAGTGCCTCCCCCTGCTTCCTGAGAGTCAGCAGGGGTGGGAGGGAGACCCCGGGCCTGGCAGGCCACAGCCCCGGGCAGGCCCTGCCTCTGCCTCTGGGCTAGCTGCTGCCTGGCGGTCCCGCCCCTGAGGTGGCTCCTCTGTGACCTGGGCTGGCAGTGGTGTGACCTCCTGGCAGGGTTGTCCTGAGGCCTAAATGTTGAGCCTGAGTCTGGCATTTGGCCAGACTATCATCCTTCCATTTCAGCTGGGGCACCAATGGGAGCCGCCATGGACATCAGAGGGGATGTTGGGGAAGCTGGGAGGTGGGGGAAAGCTGTGAAAACAGACCAAGGCTGGAGTGTCCTATCCGCGCAGGACCCTGGAACGGCACAGGGGGATAGGGCCGTGGGTTTTCCTGATGGAGGGGAGAAGGGGCCCCTCACTTTTCTAATTTCAAAGCAGCCCCTGCCCTCCCGTGGCAGCTGGGAGTGGCAGGGGACCAGGCACGGGTTGGTGGCCGCTGAGGGACTCAGCCACCCTCTCTCTCTCTCACTGCAGAGACCTGAGCAACAACCAGATCGCAGAGATCGCGCCTGATGCCTTCCAGGGCCTCCGCTCCCTGAACTCACTGTGAGTAGCAGCGCCTGCCGGGGTCCAGGGTGTCTCCCAAGGAGGCCCACAGGGCCTGGAGCCCCTGCAGTGGGTGCTGGAGAGCACAGCCCCCACCCTCCCAGCCTCAACGGCTTCCCCTTTGGCTGCAAAGTCCAGGGTCGCTATGCCCAGCATCCCCTTCCTCACTGGTGGCCCCTCTGCAGCTGGGAGGGGAGGAGGGAATCCAGGACGGAGTGCATGGAAAATCAGGCAGAGCCATTGCCCTGGCAACTGTGATGCTCTCCCCACCACAGTGGGGATTTTCCCAGCATGCTTTGTGGCAGTCATTGGACTGGGCCCAGCTTTCCTGTTGGCCCTGCCTCCCCACAGAGGCCCAGCACTCCATGCTCCTGAGCCTTCCCCAGGTCACCTACAATGGAGCACCCACCAGCTCCAGCTGCGACACCTGCCACACCTGTGTCTTCCGTCCCCAGCATGCTCTGATCCCAGGTTGTGGTGAGGATGCGAAGGAAGCATTGCCCTCCACCTCTCTCCAGCATTCCCTTTCTCAAGGGTTTACTGGGGTGGGGTGGGGTCTGTAAGTCTACAAAGCATCGTGCAGCATCAAAATCTTATCTCGGAAAAATAAAAATTAAATTTAGCAACACCAAAAAAAAAAAAATTCATTTAGGAATGTTACTTCATCTCTCTTTTCCCAAGAACCCCTGCTTGTCTCCCCCCAACCCCCCGCCATGTTCACCAAGCCCCTCACTCTCTGAGGTCCCACGGCACGTTGTCTATGCAGAGCGAGCGCTCAGGGTGCCTGTAGGCAGGCGAGCTCCCCTGGGCGGGGGCCTAGTGTTACTCTTAGGAATCGTGTTTTCGCTGCCCCCAGTCAGCATGGACACATGCCTCACGAAGATGAGGGTCATGAGGGTCCTGGGAAGTGGAGGGGGATGCAGCCCCGTCGCTGAGTGCCTTTCGTGTGCACCCTTTTCTCCTGGAGTAGAGTCCGAGGCAGGGACTCCTGTGAATGGCGCCGCTTAGGCGTGCAATGTAGGACTACACGGCAGGACGTGGCTGCCTGGGTGTGGGCCACTGTCGGGGGCGGAGATCAGGTCCGGGAGGGGCCTGCCAAGATGCAGGCCTCCTCCTCTGAGGAGCGAATGGATCTCCTTCTAAGTTGGATGTATGTCGGTAACACATCTAAATGGGCTTCTGTTCTTAACTCCCTGCACCCACTCCTGCCCCCTCCGCTCCCTTCTCCACATGGCAGATTGGGGGGTCTTTGCCGATGGGAACCTGATCGTGTCTGAGGCTGCCTGGTGCTGGATGGGCGACATCCAAGCTTCTGTCCCATTTGTTTCCTCCACTCAGGCCACGCTGGGGCCCCCCCCCCCAGCGCCAGCCCGCCCCCACCGCGGGGCCTTTGCTCCTACCGGCCCCACTCTGGGAATGAGCTGGAAGTCATGTGTGAAGAGGCAGCCCACTATTTTTGCTCAGAGGGAACGTGTGTGGGGAGGGGGGTGCTGCTTGTGATGTTGGGAATAAAATAGACCCCACTCCCAGCCCCCTTCCTTCCTCTTGGTCTGCCTGAGCCCGTTCGGCCTGCACAGCGTTTTTGAGTCTCTGCTTTTCTTCGTATTACACGGAATTCGCGCTCAGTGTAGAGAACTGAACATACCCAAGTTCAGAAACCCGCTGCAGCCCCGCCGCCCGGATCTCGGCCCAGCCAGCACCGTGGTCTGTTTCTTCCCGGTGCTTTGTCTGACCACAGACTTGCTTGACCTACGGGAGCTCACTACTCCCGCCATGAGATTTCTCCCTGAACGGTCTCTTTTGGGTCCCAGAGCAGGTTGATTTCCCACGAGGCTCCCTGACAGGTCCTTTTGTAGGCTTCTGTAGGTTTCATGTGTGGAGGGAGGGAGGGCTGTGCCTGCAGTAATGGGGTGACGGCCATCTCGAGCCCTTAGGGTACTTGTATGCAAACTACTAGGTGTACCGGTTGATATGTACACGTTTTCATATGTATGCTATTTTGTATTGACAACAAGCTTCAAAACTTCATATGTCAAATTTTCTGAAGGTGTTAATGTCATAGATATTTTTATGCTTAAAAATGTCAAATTTCGTGCCCAAAAAAGAACATTTACGGGAAGTTTTAATTCATTACTTTATTTGGAAGAAAAGTGCTAGCGATGGACATTACTTTGAATAAAGCACTTTTGATGTTTCTCTTGAAATTATCTTGTTTTCTTTGATTACAAAATCCGAATTATTAACCGGTCAATAATTAAGCCACATTACTAACCGGTTAATGATTAATCTGCAATACTAACCGGTTAGTAATCCGCATTATTAACCGGTTAGTAATTAATCCGCATTGTTAACCGGTTACTGATTAATGCAGATTAATCATTAACCGGGACACCTAGAAAGGACAGGGGACTCTTTCTTAATCACTCTACTGCCATCTGCTGGCAATTTGCTATAACAAACCTCCAGCCTGGTGGGCTGTCCTCTAACTCTCCCCTTCTGCTGCCTTTTCTCCAGGGTCCTCTATGGGAACAAGATCACAGACCTCCCCCGGGGCGTGTTTGGCGGCCTGTACAACCTGCAGCTCCTGTAAGGACCCATCGGATGGTGGCTTGGGTGGGGCCCTGGGAGGGAGCCAGTATTCCTCTGGCCTCCCAGCCTGGCCTTTCCCGCCTCTTTGGGGTGTGGGACTCCTGGAGGCAAGGAGCTTGGCGGAGGGCAGAGGTAGTGGGGCTGTGAGAGGCTTTGGGGCGCTGCAGAGGCCAGAGAGGCGACTCGGACTGGTGGCGGGAGGCCTGAAGGAGAGGCCGCTGCGACGCAGGCTGGTCCTACGGAGGCCGGCATGGCTGAGGACAGCTATCCACCACATGGTCCCCCAGGCCAGCTCAGCCTCCTCGAACCAGGAGAGTTCAAGCAAGGGCTCTCCCCCAGGACCCAAGAAGCACAGAGCCCCTCTCAGCTGCCTGGGACCCCGCGGAACTCTGGGATGGGGGAGGAGCCTCCCACGGCCTTTGGGAGGTGGCTTTGCCCCGATGCTCTCTGGTTTCCGGGGATGCCAGGGGCACCTCTAGCGGTTCCTTGAAAGAGAGAAGAGGGGGGCGCTGAGCTGGTCCCCGTGCATGGAGGAGGCAGTCAGAGTTCTCCACGCCTGTGCGTGGAGTGGGCACCCAGAGGGCCAGATCCCTGTGCCTGCTCGGCGCCCAGGAAGGTGCCCAGGACGTGTCGGTGAGTCTGATGCTGTGCCTTCCCCTCACCACCTGGCCCTGGTCTGCCCACAGGCTCCTGAACGCCAACAAGATCAACTGCATCCGGCCGGACGCCTTCCAGGACCTGCAGAACCTCTCGCTTCTCTCCCTGTACGACAACAAGATCCAGAGCCTCGCCAAGGGCACCTTCACCTCCCTGCGGGCCATCCAGACCCTGTGAGTGCCCTCCGCCCGCCCCCTCCGCCCAGCAGGTGGACCTAGGGGGAGGCAACAGCCTCCTGGTGCAGGCAGCTAACCGTCTTGACCTGTGCCTTTTTCTCACCATAATCATCTCTTAGGGAGGAAAGAGCACAGGCACTGGGTTAGACAATCCTGGGTTCAAACCCCAGCTATGCCTCATATTGGCTGTGTGACTCTGGGCAAGTTAATTTGCTTCTCTGGGCCTCCGTTTACTTATTCATAAAGTGAGGATATCATCTTCATAAGGTTGTTATGGGATTAAAGGGGATGTTTGTATAGAGCTTAGCATGTTGTAAATGCTTCTGAAATGCTGGTTACAGTTAATAATAATAGTAATAATAATAATAACAATGTCCATTGATTCTAAGACACATATTGTTTCCACATTAACAGCTCTGAAATTGGGGTGCATTGCGACGTCGATGGCATCATTTAATTGACATTTTGTTCTTTCTTGATAATACATAAAATAAAAGTACCTCTTGCAATGGATAATGTCTTAAGTTAGATAAAATCTAGTAATGGCAATGATGATTAAAAACTAGAGAGCAATGGCACTAGGAATTTGTTTTCATCTTTTGTTATAGGATATTACAAGCATAATAAGGTGGTACTGTGACCCGCCCAGTACTCACCACCCAGCTTCACTCAGGGCCAGTCTCCTTTCAGCTACACTTGCCCTCTTCCCTGCCTCCCAGGCATCATTTATCTCCTATCACTTATCACTTCACACATATGTATAAAAGGCAAGGACTCTAAAAACACAACCACATCACTATTATTATATCTTGAACATTTAAAAATTAATCCCTGGATATCATCAGATATCTCATTACTGAATTTCCAAGTGTCTTACACACACATTATACAATTTTGAAGGCCATGTGCTGGAATCAGGATTTAAATTAGGCCTGTGCAAGACAATTGGCGGTATTGGCGGATGTATCACTTCGGTTTTTAATCTGTAAGTGTCCTCTCCACTCCCTTTCTCCTTGCAGTTTGTTTGTTGCATACACTGCATTATTGGTTCGTGGAGTTTCCCCCAGTATGGGCTTCCCTGGTTGTAGTCCCCATGGCGTAGTTTCACACACTCCTCTGTCCTGAACACAAAAGTTTACAACTGGGAGCTTGGCCAGGTTCCGATTTTTTTCTTTTTTGGGCAAAGTGACTTCATAGGTAGGACCATGTACTTGCACAGGAGGCACATGATGTCTGGTTGTCTCTCTTTCTGTAGTTAACACGGCCATTGATCTGAATGCCTGAACCCACTCGTTCATTAGGGGTCCTGAAATGGAGACGTGTGAACTCTAACGTTCCTTCTTCATTTGATAATGCGGTTGTGGTCATGCTTTTATATAACGAGTCCTTATTTCCAGCTGGCATGCTTCTGGGAAGGGAAGTTTCTTGTCATCTTCTCTTTGGTTGAACTAGGCACTTACTAGTAGGTGGTGTCCTTCATTCTGCATCTTTAGTCCCGGGCCCTATAGTTTGACTCGATGTGCTGGCCTGTGGGCCCGACGGTGTGCACTTCATGGGCGTTTATTATCAATGTTGTCGTAGCCATCGTTGTCATTGCCATCCCCGCCACAGTGTTTATCCGCTGAGCCGTGCGTTCCCTCAGATAACACCTGCACGGAGTCCTGCTCCCGGGGGACCCTGCACGTCGGCTGGGATGTCAGCCGCGAAGACAAGCTCATTAAAGCCCACGAACCCGCCCGCAGCCCACTCCTGCTAATTGATTTCCTTAAAGCCGGGGAGAGGAAGGCGGCGCACCACGGGGAAATCTTGTCAAGAATGGGCAATTAGAGGTCACAGGCAAGGGGCGGCCTGTACAGTGGCCGGGAGGAGGCAGCCTGGGTCTTGGTGCCTGCTCTGCCACCTCACCTGCCAGCGGTGCTCTGGCCTGGCCGCAGGTCACTCCTGCCTCCATTCGTGTTTGTGAAATGTCCCCCGGCAGAGGGAGGGGCAGGTGAGAGCAGGAGTGGGGACAGGGGGCTGGCCGGGGGAGTGTGACAGGCACAGCTGGGGGCCCCAGAGCTGCTGAGCCCCTCCTCTCTGTGATGCTGGGCAAGACTTCTCTGAGGGTGGTGGGTGCCCCCAAGCAGTGCCCTCGGGTGGTCGTGTCTCCCAGGGCCAGCCCGGGCTTCAGGCTGAGAGCCAGCGGGGAGGCCTCACTCACCCAGGGAGGTCAGCGCAGACCCAGAGCCCCAGCTCTGACCCCTGCCCTGCCCCCCTTTGCACAGGCATCTGGCCCAGAACCCTTTCATCTGTGACTGTAACCTCAAGTGGCTGGCGGACTTCCTGCGCACCAACCCCATCGAGACGAGCGGGGCCCGCTGCGCCAGCCCCGGGCGCCTGGCCAACAAGCGCATCGGGCAGATCAAGAGCAAGAAGTTCCGGTGCTCAGGTAGCTGCCTGCCCCCCGTCTGTCTTCCGTTTGCTCGGGACCGAGATGCTTCCTGGCTGGCTCCAGCAAGGATGTCCTGGGTGTGGGCCCCAAATTGTGGATGTGGATCTGAACGGTGTTCGGTCCCACCCCTGTTTTACCCCAAGCCTGGGGAGGGGAGGTCCGAGGGAGGACCCAGACAAGGACCCAGGTCCTCCACCCCCAGGCCAGTGCTCCCGTACCACTTTCAGCCCAAGACCCTTGGTGGCCTGGGACCCTCGTAGTGAGAGAGCGGCCTCCTCTAGGTCCGGAGGCAGCAGAAACAGCCTGTGGCCGGGGACTGGGTGGGTCAGCTTCTAAGCCTGGATTCTGGTCGGAGGCCTGGTGCCCCCAGCCCCATCTGTGCCAGCGCACGGGAGAGTGCCCATGGCGTTGGCCCTCCCTGAGAGGTGTAATTGGGTGGGGTGCTGTCCCAGCATTGGCCTGGGCAAGGCAGGGCTTCTCCACACAGGGGCTGGGCAGGTGGGCCCTGGTCTGGGACCCCAGCCTTGTTCCTGGGGTACGTCCGGCTAGGCAGTGGGCCTGGGGCCTGGGCTTTCTTGCAAGTCCTGGACAATCCCACTAACTTCATGGTGTTTCCCTTTGCAGCCAAAGAGCAGTACTTCATTCCAGGTGGGAAAGTGGGGGAACTGGGGGCCGTC